GGGGGGGGGGGGGGGGGTGCGAGAGGGACGGATGGCAAACGTGCTTGCTCTCGACTCTCGCACGAGCTCCCTACACGTACAGTAGTAGGAAACCTTCCTGCCAGCAGGGCGAGGGCGAAAGTATGCGAAACCGACGATAATCCCTTCTATCTGTACAACAGCCGACATCGACCCTCGCCGGCGGCGTGCGTGCCAACAGCACGCTTGCGTGTAACGCTACAAAACATATCAGGACAAGCGAACCATGCCACGAGACAACAAGAACAGAAAAAGCCCACCAACGCCAACCAACCCCTCCTCCTCCATCCCGTCCTAACCTGAGGAGTGTACTTGGTGTCGGCAAGCAGGGTGCCGGCGAGGAAAGCGCCGAGCGTGCCACTCAGCCCCAGGCCTTCGGTGATGCTGGACAGAGCGATGACGGTGAGCAGGATCACCGCCAGGAACGCCTCTTGAGACTTGCTCTTCGCCACCAGCAGGAAGAAGCGGCTCAGGATGTTCTTGCCTGCACAGCGAGGAGAGGCAGAGAGAGGAAAGGGGAAGGGTTCAGTCATTAGGCTTCACGTGAAGAGACGGGCGGCGCAGGTACGATACTGACAAGAGCGCCACGGTGCACAGGAGAAAAGCGCAGGTTAAGCCGAATGGGCGACGACGGTCGAAACAAAGAAAAAGCTGGTACAGAGGAAGATTAGACGAGAGCGCGCAACAGTGGACGCAACGGAAGCACACAGGGACGAGCGGGATACGACCAGGGCTACAGTCTCGAAACACAAACACAACACAAAAAATCGTGCACGTGGAGTCAAAATGTTTGATGATTACTGTCAGCAGCAACAACAGCAGTGGTACACACTCTTCCCAGGACCTGCTCGTCATCGCCAGCAAGACTTGAGCAGCTCAACAACTCGTTACCCGCAACAGCAAGGCAACAGCAGTTGGAGTCAGAGGCAAGGCACACAACGTAATCAATGGTTTGAGGGGGAACGGAGCAACAACAATCCTCACAGGCTACCAACATGTACCTCAGGCCCCGCTCTTCGCCGGCAACAGGGAGGGGCGAGGGGCGAGGGGCGTACCACAACTATGGTACGCTCTGCCCTCTCTGATACTTGCGTGGACGTCGTAACATTTGCAACAGCGAGGGACCTTTAATAGAACATAAATTTATCCTCGCCGTCGCCGTCACTAAGCAGCACGCGCCTTTTCTCTCGGGCGCAGACAAGAGGTAGAGAGCGGACGGACGACAGAACCAACCACCAAGCAAACGTCCTGGATAACCCTCGGCGACGAAAAAGGCAGAAACGACACCCTCAACACAGCAGCAATGGTGCCTGCAACTACAAACTCCAACGGCGACGACAAAACGCGCTGGTGCACAAAAAAGGGGTTAACCCCCGGGTCGATTTTTACTTTACCTACCTTGTTGTGGTACAAGTTAGACTATAAGCACGGCAATCGACCGCGTGAAGTGGTAGACTGGTACGGACAGATGAAGGTGTGATGGGTAGAGAGACCGGAAAGTTTTTTTAATGTGAACACAACAACAGCAACAACAACAACAACAACAACAACAAACGAGCTGTGCCATACCGATGAAGGCGATGAGCCCCAAAGCGATAGCCGCCTTTGTTGCCGCAGACGTGAGCGCGGCCGCCAGCCCGCCGCCTCCCCCGGCCAGGAGAGGGATCGCCACCAGCAGTGGCACCACCGCCAGGTCCTGAGGTCAAACACACAAAAACACAGGTGCACACAAGTATAGGGATAGGATATGAAAAAATCAAACGCATCAAAAATCGAAGGCAAAGTACCGCAGGAGGGGCCGGTAGGGGGAAACCCTTCTGTGCGACCACGGGTTGGATGAAACGGCACGAGCGCTGTGAGCGCTGACTTTTGAAGTCATCACAACGATGTGGAGAAATCAGCCGCGAAACAAAAATGTTTTCGCCGACCGGGGCAAACAAAATCGGGGCCTCGGAGTGAAACGAAGGAGGCGTGTGGCTCATTGATCGCTTGGCGTAGTCGCCCGACCATTGAACACGCATCCCTCGCGAAAAGGAGCGCCGGTCCTACCCTTCATGAGATAAATCGTTAACCTGTGGGCACTCTTGGCCTCCGATGTGTGACATAGCGCGGGGGCAGACGGGCTACTCAGAGACAAAACAAGCCCACCCGGAGCGTACCCCAATAGGCCGTAACATCGGAGATACATGAAAAACGTTTGAGTGGGCCAACGTAGGAAAAACCAAGCACAGAAACACAATGAGCGTGAAGACACAGGAAGAAAAAGAACAAGACAAAGCAGGGTGAGAGAAAGAGACATCAAGAGAGAGAGGTTGAGTAAGAGGGGGTACCAAGGTGACCATTTATTATCACATGGCTCGGGGCTCGCGGTGCAAGCAGCGTGACGGAACGGCCAGAGGGAGAAAGCACGACCAATACCAAGGGAGGACGACCAAAATCAAAAAGTCACATCCAACAGCAGGTACGCAATGCGGGTCGCCAGGAATAATAGCGGTGGACGACAAGGCTATCTATCATCAACATCGCACACGTCTAGTGTGACCCCCGGCTGCTACGTCGATACATCTGTACCACAAGTTAACAAACTGACGCCAGAAACGGCGAGACGAACACAAGAGCCCCCCCCCCCCCCCCCCCCCCCCCCCCCCCCCCCCCACCC